AGAGAGAGAGAGAGAGAGAGAGAGAGAGAGAGAGAGAGAGAGAGAGCAGCTGCGTCGACTGACAGCTCGCCTACGCACGGTTATACCTGTTTTTCAGAGAGTCCGCGTATCCTATTCTGACACTTGGCAACAAATCAGACGCTCGGATCCGTGCGCAACGAGCACAATAAAACGCGACCGTTAGTGCGTGCTCTTTTGCGCTTTAGGAGGTCTCGATCTCTGCGGTCGCCTTTCGCGCGCGATTATTACTCGCATTTATTCTCATTGTCGAGTCTTGACACAGTTCAACACGCGATGCACATATTCTACTGTTTGTCTTTCTCTCTTTCTCTCTCTCTCTCTCTCTCTCGCTCTTTCGTTCTATTCCCCGAGCCCCATATAACTTTATTATCTTACGTGTGCGCACTTTGTGTTCAATGTTCCACATAATGCGACCGACAGAAAAGAAATACAAAGAAAAACACGTGTATCAAATTAAGAATGGCCACTTAAGGCCATCACCGTCGCTTCGAAACGATCGACGGATAAGATCTCTGTGCGCGGTTTTTCTAATTGCCGTGCGCATCCGCGAATCGTTACGCGCCGCGCGATCGTTATGGCCGCGCGCTGACGGGGCTTTTACGATCGTTTACCAACCGATGAAAGAATGAACCGAGGAAACGAGGACGAGCGAGCCGGTCAAGCTCGCGCGATAAGCGTAGGCTGGCGCGCATCGTCGTCATCGTCGTCGTCGTCGTCGTAGGATGAGCGCGCGCGCTAAAACGGGTTTCAGGAAAAATCCGAGCGCAATCCTGAGATGTGACGATGTGCCTCGGCATATCTCTCCGTGTATATATATATATATATATATATATATATACGAGCGACGACTGTATGTAGCACGTGGTAAGCTATGCCGATGATCGGGGGCGCGCGCGCTATATCCGTTGCGGAGCAGCCGCATCTAGAAAAGAGATTCCATTAACCGCGTTTCCAATCGGCGCGCGCGAAGTGAAAAAAAGAAGGAAAAAAAAAGAGACATTATCCTTCGAGAGCTCGTGTCGTTAATTGTATACATCCTTGGAATCGCGGCGGTACACATGTAACTTAACGATACCGTGCGAAGTCGGTTACACACAGGAGAGCTTCTTCGTGCGCGAGATGAGAGGGAAGATTGGCGCAACACACACCCGTCGATCGGTCGGTTTCGACCCGACGAACATTTCGTGACCGATGACGTAGTTTCGTTCGGGAAAAACAGTTTCTTTCCAGGGTGAAGAGGAATTCGCAGCGGCGTCTGAGAGCAGATTTCCAGTAATCGCTCTTAACCTTTCGCGGCATCGCGTTATTATTTCGTTTTGCCCGTGAGGAGATCGTTAATTAGAGGAATACAATGTCTTCGGACTTGCACTTCATCAACCGTTACCGGGAGGTGATTACGGGCGAAAATTACACGCGATCCGATCGAGCAAAAAGTTCGAATGTTGCGTATAGATCACAGAAAGAGAGAAAGAGACGGAAAAGGTAGAAGTTGCCGCGCGCGATGGAGATATTAATATTCCGCGTGTTCGTATTTATTGCCGCCGCGCGCGAGGAGAGACAGCATGCGTATATGCAAATACACGGCGTATATATACGCGTCTAGATTATTGACAAATTATTAACGATAAATTTTTTGCGGCGAGAAACACGCGGTTCTTTAAATAAGCAACTTACTTTCCGATAACAGCTTCCATAGCGCGGCGTCGTTCGTTATCGGATGTACCGCGATCGTAATGTCAACGTGCGCGGGAATGTAAACGCAACGATAAATCACGACTAATAATGTGATTTGACAGTAAGATTAATAACGCGCGGCGATGCAGATTCGCGCGATTAAAATCCAGTTCCGAAGTGTATCGACGCATCGTCGTTGGAACGACTCATGTGCGGTTTGTGTGTGTGTGTGTGTTGCGCAATTGCGTTTAATTTCGTTCGAGAAAGGGACCAACACGACAAAGGTCGTCGATACATACGTTGCGAGAGACGTGTAACGAGAAAGCTGTCACGCCGAATAAATCGGCGAATACACTTATCGGTCGAGAACAACACGTCGATCTTCGTTCAGTCGCGTGTCTTATTCCGATAACATGCAAATCACTTCGATTTCGACTGACACGCGCGCGGCGGTGAGTGAAAGTAACCGACAAATTTTAAGTCGCGGCTAAAAAATCAGCTCGAACTCTTCGCGTTCGCTTGACGTCGTCGTCCCCTTGAGAGGCGACGGTAAACACTGCGATTGATCGCCGAAAGATCCTTCGTATGACAGTTTTAATGGCGCACGAGCAATCGACTTCGTCTTGCGATTAAAGGTGAAGCTTTGAAGCGAAGCCTTTCACGTATACGTGTGTATATTATTCGCGATAAGAATTACAGACTCGCGTGAAAATGTGTGTGTTGTGTGCGTGTGCGCGCGCGTGTGTGTGGGAGGGGGGTGTGGGTGTGTGCGTGTATGCGAAATAATAATCCTGCAAGAACTTCGCACGAACGAAGTCCGGGAAATTGAACTTTACAACTTCGCGTGCGATCCCGTATATAATTTTTTAATTGATGCGCGAGAAATAAAAAAAAAAAAAAAAAAAAAAAAAAAAAAAAAAAAAAAAAAAAAAAAACGAGAAACTCCTATTTACGCGAGTTACGCAATGAAGTTTCAATAATTACACACCTCGCCGCGCGACTCGACCGATTAAAAAAAAACGGAGCTTCTTCTGCGATTACAGTTGCAAACGATTCAATTTTTTCGCTCGAGTTTCGCGTTGGGTTAATGGCGTTTACATTAAGACAATTATCGCATATTTGCGCGTTTTTTGTTTTTTTTTTTCATACTGGTTTTGCTTTACGATCTGCACTGCTGATGGAAAATACTTGGGTGTAATGACGCTATCGATTAAATGCGCGATGATAAATGAATATTAAATACCGTTTAACTGACGATTGGAGTAATTATCAACATATTAATTTATGAATAAAAGATCGGTCTCTTTTTCTCTCTCTCTCTCTTTCTCTCTGTCAATTCTCTCTGCTTGATATTACCGAGAGCGATTAATATCTCGTAATTTCAATGTATTGTTTACTCTTTTTCTCTCAGAATTATAAAAAAAAATAAAAATAAAAAAAAAATCTTGTCGCGTATAATCGCACGCGATGTGCGTTAAACCTTTCGAGGTATTAAATATGTCTACATCCGCTACTTTTTTTTTTTAATTCTCTTGACGTTATTACCGGCTACCGATTATAATGACCAGAAGTGCCGTTAGTCCGTTCCATTAAGAGAAGAGAAACTGCCATATAACACCGTCTCTATAACGTAATTTATAAAATTAAAATCGGGCATTCTCTTTTATATAATAACACACACACACATACACATACACAAAATATATATGATAAACACAACGTCTCGAGATTCCCCTCAGCGGCTTGTCACGTTTCATATCGTCGTGCGTTCCAATTTCCTGCAATAATTACCCACGGGTCCGTATATAGAGGAGGTTGTTTCACAACTTCCGGCAACCTCAAAGCCATCTGCTTCTCGAGACCGAGTTAAACGAGGTGTTTATCCGTAAGTTTTCAATATTCTTACGTTTGTAATCCCCGAAAACTGTGCACCGATGCTCTCCAGTGTTCTCGAAAAAAAAAAAAAAAAAATCGCAAATTTGGTCATTTATACAATTTCGCGAGAGACACTCCGCGCCCACACGTGCTGCACAGAGGGACGTTGTTGTTTTTGTGTTTTAAATTTCTCAAAAGAAAATTAAATAGAGATTAATCTCTTCGTGAGTTCTCGGACGTTTCGCTTCGCGTGACGAGTGTCGCTGCCCGCGGTAATGACTACCCTGCGGAAAAGATTTCGAACTCGAAAATGCGGTAGTCTAAGGACCGAAGATAAATCACCCTCGGCATCACCGTCGGATAATGATAGGTGGTGGTGCGCGCAGAGACGACCGCGCGCGCACCGTGATATATCGTTCACGACTACGCCAAGATAACGCTTGGAAATTCTCGCCGTGAGTGATAATCCGTATGTGTGCCGCCGATGCGCGCGATTTCCGGTGCGCGATCCAATCGTAGGGAGGGGGGGGTAGGGATGAGGTAGTT